CGTTGAACCGTCTACGCACTTCTTCGTTCCTGACGCGATCGAGTAGGGTGAGGCCTACCGACCATCGGAGCATTCGCATCTCCATTATCTGGAGTCTGCTTTCGACTTCTTTGGTCGTCGGCCAGCACTCTGCGCCATATATGGCCACGGGGCGCACCACAGAGTTATAGATTTTCGCCTTCAGGCGCATCGGCATCTTCTTGTCACAGAGGACGCCCGTGACGGACTTCCATTTGCCCCACGCTGCATTGATCCTGGCTGCCACCTCAGTTGAAAATCTGAACAATAGCGATCAGGCTATAGAAGGGACCTCTAATAGGGAGGAGTAAACAGGAGGAACTTTGGGTAGGTAATGTTGAGTCAAGGATGGAGGGATTAGTTTTGCAGAGATTCATAACACCCTTACATTTGAATAGCAGCAGTTACCTTGTATTAAAAATCCTGTTTCTTGGCATGCCCCAACAGATATACTGGCTCTGTAGTCACAGATCAGAATTAAATCCAGTCCTTAAAATAGAAATTGGCATGACAGCTTGCTTCGGAATATGCAGGTGTGGAATTTGACCTTGTCTTAGATGCATACAAAGAGCATACTCTTTGTATGCTTTAGTCATACACTTCCTCAACTGAGTTGATATGTACCTGGCATATGGCCAACAGATTAGTCAACATTCTTGTTATTAATATACTAATGGACATATAGTACAATAAATAGGGAGAAAATAATTAGGTTTTCATAATTCCTAATTTCTAAACTCAAAACAGTAGCCCTTTTACATGACTAATTAATGCAAAGTAAAAAAAACAGAGCTTTCATAAGTGGTAAAGATGAAAGAAGGGAAGAGATGATTTACATTGGAAGCATTTACGTATTGTACCAAGCATAATACAAGTTTTTGAAGTTTTAGGTTAATATGATGCACAACCCAGCCATTGTGTTTGTAAAGCATGGTGATTTTGCATATTGTAAAAACTTAGCTAATAGTGCTTATTCAGTAATATAACAACAATCATGTCTTACTAGTTATAGACCATCTCTCTCACATGTATCTATTTTACTGCCTGAGATTATAACAAGTGGGGATTTGTTGTACTAAATTTAACTATTTTCATGGAATTAATCAATGATATGTAACTATTTTCTCAACTCTGAAAAATTCTCAACTCTGATTCCAGCAGGTGGTCAACCTCTCAGTTTTCTCTTTGGCTGTAGATCGGTTGGCCTTTTGCAAGGTGAAAGCCAAACATAGACTATAAATCCACTGCTTGGGTCACTAACCGTCCTGTTTTCTTTATTTTTCCTTTGCTCCTCTTCCCATAAGTTTTTGTGTAATCACTAAAGAGGAAGGGAACACAGTTTATAGTGCATAGTTCCACACTTGTAATATTATGTAACTTCCTTGGCTTCAAGTGAAGGTTGATGGGAAAGGTGAGATTACCAAAAATGTTCTAGTTCACTGCCTTTGTTATCTTACTTCAGTTGACAAATAACTAATCCACACTTGAGTGATGAAATATACAATAGTCAACTAAGCCCATGGCAAAGGGCAGCAGAAGTGCTTTTGCACTTTTATCCCTTAAAACTTTTCTAAATTGTATAAATATAGTTAATCAACAGTGGAATAGTCTGTCAATACTATTTGTGTAGGATTCAGTTTTACTTTCAGTTTTGCAATTGACAATACATTATAAAAAGCATTACATTTTCAATTACTTTTAATTTTTAATACTTTATTTGTGGTCACAGACCAAAGCACAAGTACAACAAAAGAACGTGGGAAAATTAATCATGAACAATTGGTCACAAAAAACTTGACTAAGGGGAATTACAGCGTTCTCCTCTGATGGTTAGAGCTCTTAAAATTTTTTGGAAACCTGAGAAGTGATGTATGAGGAGCCATCCCCTGGACAATATAAGAACAAATTACTAACATTGGGTCTAGAAGAGTCTGTTTCAAGGAGAGGCAGTAACTTAGATCTGACTGCGTTATACATAGGGCAATATAAAAGGACACGCTCCACAGTTTCAACCTCAGCTCTGTCACAGGGGCATAGCCGTTCGTTAATCGGGAGCCTCTTAAATCACCCATCCAATAGACATTTTCAATTAGAAAATCTTGGGGGCAGGAAATACCACATTTTATAAGGTTTAAAATGGCATTTACTAAATTGCTATGGTAGTTTCAGAAATCTATCAAGGCATGAGATAATACAGTTTTTTTGCTTTTTGTTTAGTGTGTAGTATAGTTTCTTTAACCCTGACAATTTTAAGATGTGTAACTTCAACTCCAAGAATTCCCCAGGCAATATGCTGGCTGGGGAATTCTGGGAATTGAAACTCATACATCTTTTAAGTTGCCACAGTTGAGAAACACGGGTGTAGTATAAACCAAGCTAATTGTGATTTGTCAGGATGTATGATTTTAACTTATGCATTTGCATTTTGTTAATGTAGAAACCTAAAATCTGCAGCCGAATATCTCTTTTTCTACGCAAGGAAATACTGTATATCCTTACAATGGAAGCTTTTTCTAATGGATTAACAGTGTGACTCAAGCGGTTGGAATAAAGTCAGCCTTGTTTCTATTCCAGCTGTCTTTTTAGTTTTATAATATTTGGGAGCTATAACTTATCAAACTATTTCATCTACTGTTATTATACTGGAGGCATGGAGTAAAATGACACTCTTGTCTCTGGGTTGACCCATTCAAAACAAAATAGTGTTGTACTGTCTCTTTCCTCTATAAAGTGATTTTGTAATCACTATCTTGGAAAAGATAACATTTCAGTGTTTCCAAGAATGTTGGGTAAATGTTTGATCTACTTCCAATCACGGAAATCATTTTCTTACAAATGTTGCTTATAATGGGTGTCTAAATCCTGTTTTATTTCTAAACACACTTCTCATCATCCAAGGGCATCGCCTCATCTGCCAAGAAAATATTGGTTTCATGGAAGTTAATAAAGCCAGAGACTGCTTTAGACAATGGATCCATTGCTTTTTGTTGAAAAGATCAAGAATATTTTGCCTTTTTCTGATAATTTGGAGACAAAAGATCATTCAAAAATTTAAGCATTACTGTGCTTACTATTTCACAAATGTTCCAAAAGTGCTTAATGGGGCGAAAGGAAGTGTTTTATATCATAATTAATGACATGTAGAGATTACAAGCCTGTATGAGTGAACCATCAACATCTGGCGGTGAAACACAAATCACCATAGAATTTTAGGATACAGAGAGCATGAACGTAGTGGAGGGTTATTTCTATGTAATTATTATTTTGAGGAAATAGTATTCAATTACAGAATCAATCTTTGGCAACCAGTTTTAGTGCAGAAAAATACTTTGAAAAAATCATTAAAAGAAACCCTAAAACTGCCTAGTTACATTTTCTGGAACGTAGTTCCTGGCTTGAAATCAAAAGTCAAGTGCAGTCATCAGGCTGAAAAAATACACTGCTCAAAAAAATAAAGGGAACACTTAAACAGCACAATGTAATTCCAAGTCAATCACACTTCTGTGAAATCAAACTGTCCACTTAGGTAGCAGATTGACAATCAATTTCACATGCTGTTGTGCAAATGGAATAGACAACAGGTGGAAAGCATAGGCAGTTAGCAAGACATCCCCAATAAAGGAGTGGTTCTGCAGGTGGTGACCACAGACCACTTCTCAGTTCCTATGCTTTCTGGCTGATGGTTTGGTCACTTTTGAATGCTGGCGGTGCTTTCACTCTAGTGGTAGCATGAGACAGAGTCTACAACCCACACAAGTGGCTCAGGTAGTGCAGCTCATCCAGGATGGCACATCAGTGTGAGCTGTGGCAAGGTTTGCTGTGTCTGTCAGCATAGTGTCCAGAGCATGGAGGCGCTACCAGGACACAGGCCAGTACATCAGGAGACATGGAGGAGGCCGTAGGACGGCAACAACCCAGCATCAGGATCGCTATATCCACCTTTGTGCAAGGAGGGACAGGAGGAGCACTGCCAGAGCCCTGCAAAATGACCTCCAGCGGGTCGCAAATGTGCATGTGGCTGCTCAAACGGTCAGAAACAGACTCCATGAGGGTGGTATGAGGGCCTGATGTCCACAGGTGGGGGTTGTGCTTACAGCCCAACACTGTGCAGGACGTTTGGCATTTGCCAGAGAACACCAAGATTGGCAAATTCGCCACTGGCGTCCTGTGCTCTTCACAGATGAAAGCAGGTTCACACTGAGCACATGTGACAGACATGACAGGGTCTGGAGACACTGTGGAGAATGTTCTGCTGCCTGCAACATCCTCCAGTATGACTGGTTTGGCAGTGGGTCAGTAATGGTGTGGGGTAGCATTTCTTTAGGGGGCCACACAGCCCTCCATGTGCTCACCAGAGGTAGCCTGACTGCCATTAGGTACTGAGATGAGATCCTCAGACCCCTTGTGAGACCATGTGCTGGTGAGGTTGGCCCTGGGTTCCTCCTAATGCAAGACAATGCTAGACCTCATGTGGCTGGAGTGTGTCAGCAGTTCCTGCAGACGAAGGCATTGATGTTATGGACTGGCCCGCCCGTTCCCCAGAACTAAATCCAATTGAGCACATCTGGGACATCACGTCTCACTCCACCAATGCCACATTGCACCACAGACTGTCCAGGAGTTGGGGGATGCTTTAGTCCAGGTGTGGGAGGAGAGACCTCAGGAGACCATCTGCCACCTCATCAGGAGCATGCCCAGGCATTGTAGGGAGGTCATACAGGCATGTGGCGGCCACACACACTACTGAGCCTCATTTTGACTTGTTTTAAGGACATTACATGACAGTTGGATCAGCCTGTAGTATTTTTTTCCACTTTAATTTTGAGCGTAACTCCAAATCCAGACCTCCATGGGTTGCTAAATTTGATTTCCACTGATAATTTTTGTGTGATTTTGTTGTCAGCACATTCAATTATGTAATGAACGAAGTATTTAATAAGAATATTTCATTCATTCAGATCTAGGATGTCTTATTTTTGTGTTCCCTTTGTTTTTTTGAGCGGTGTATTATGTGCCACAGAATTACACCTTGCACTTAATTAGAGTCAAATAGGTTGTAGCTGTCAGACAAGCAGCACCAAGAATCAAACTGTATGAAACTTGCAATATGCTTGGATATAATTATTTGTCCATTAAGCATACAGTAATATCTCAACTGATGAATATAAAAATTTAACAAGATAAAAAATGGTCTGCTTTAAAAAAAAATCAAGTGAGAATAGATGCCAGAAAGATAAACATAAAGTGCCTTCATTATAGTCAGAGCTATCAACCATTAGAGCAGAAGTGGGGACCTGTGGCCCATTTAAGACTTGTGGACTTCAGCTCCCAGAATTTTTGAGCCTTACACTGGATTAGAGTTAGAAAAACATACTCTCTCCCACGTTCACACACACACACACACACACACACTTTATATTTGATGAATCTAATTGCTATTCCCCACCCCCACCCCCCTGGAATCTAATTGCTATTTCAAAGGGTGTACAGATATTGCCTGGTTACTCTAGGTTGCTATTTTCCCCCAAATTGCCCTCATACTCCCATCTATCTCACTATTTACATTTAGCAAAAAGAAGACACTAAAGATATTTTCCATGGAAAAGAATGTCAGACAGTGAAAGAAAAGAAATCCTAGAAGGACACCTGGGCTCAGCACATGGACACTTTTCTTACCAGCTATGAAAACTGGCCTCACCCCAATACATGGACTACACAAGATTTGTTTCCAAGAACTACAGCTTTGACATTAAAAGGATTCTCTTTGCTTCGTATAGATTAATTCAGTGAATAAAGGAAGCCAAATCCAGTGAATTAGATCCCTCTAAAAATCTAACAATAGAGATAACCCTTGACTTACAACTTTTCATTCAGTGACTGTTCAAATTTAAAACAGTACTGAAAAAAGTGACTTACACCAGTTCCCAAGTTCCCCCACACAGGCAGAAATTATAGTCTTAATAGTGGTTGTAAGTTAAGGACTACCTGTGGCAAAGTTTGCCATTTGTTTCATATGTCCGAGATGAATCACTCTTTTATTCCTGAGATAAATCACCTGTGATTTGGCTTGTATGTATGTATGTATATACTGTATATTTCACATTTCTGAACATCTACCTCCATATTTTTTTGCTTGTGTAGTAGAAATGCTGTAGTTCTGCAAACTTTGGAGGCATTCATAACTTTCTTTATAAGTACTAAACCGTTAAAACAATATGGTCTCAAAAGAAAAGTTAAAAGAAAACTAAAAATGAAAGAACCATTAAGCATAAGAAAAACAACTGGCATAGGTAACTTTTACAAATTCAAAACAGTTCACATTTCAAGTGAATGAAATAGTTCACATTTCAAGTGATAATTCTATGCTATACTGAACATTTAGCTGTGTTCCTCAGAACTGCAGGTACAAAAAGGCTGTTCCTTGATTTTTGGAAAAGTTATTTCTTATGTAAAACTGCCCCTTTATACAGTTAAGATAACAGAAAAGTTCTTCGCTATGTAAATATACTATTTTCCAATAAAATTATCCATGGATTTTGGCTGGAAGTGGAGAAGGGAGGTGAATATATATATATATTCAGATTTGTCAAAATGTCACACCTAATTGCTTTGGACATTATTGTAATATTATTGCATAAGTGACATAATTCATGCAGACAGCATTGTTTTCAGGTTTCTAATGCCTTTGAGTCTGAAACATAATTTTATGCAGTTCAGAATAATTTGATGAATAGTTGTTTAATAGTGTGTTTCACAACAACTTGCAGTGCAACTAGGTTGTGTTATTACTTTAAATCTCTAACGCAGTAAAGAAGTTTGGGCACTGAGAAAAAAAATGGAACACTGCTGCTTAGAATAATTCAGATTTCTAACAACTCCCACTAGCCTTTATATTTTCTTGTTTCTATAGCTCGTGTAGGTTTGTATGTGGCTCTGTGGGTTGGTCCAAATCACAATTTTGAATTAGTTGAAAGAAAAATTCCACTTGCTTTGCATAATCTTCCAAAGAGATCCTTTCATTCAACCCATGGAATCTGATTAAAAGGGAAAAGAAAGCAGCTGTTTAATACCAAATTAAGTAAAACTTAAATAAAAGTTTTATGTTACAAATATATATATGCAGTGCAACAGTACCCCAAAGTTTAGATCCAGATTTAATCATACTTGGAGACAAAACTAAATTAATGCAGGGACTAGTTTACACTTTACAGTAATCCTTAATAGAATTCCTTGATTTTGTTTTAGCATGCTATACAACCCAATGTTCATGGTAACAGTGCACAATCTGTGGCCATACAGCTTCTGAGTTTCCTATTGGTAGTTTCCAAAGCACCCATAGAATGGGACAGGATCAATATTTTACAATTGGGAAGAATTTGAGAGCTGAAATGAGTTCCTTAAGCCTGGCCAATTTCCTCCCTTTTGCTGGACTTATCTACTCTAAGCTCAGTATATCATTAGCCAAATTCTTTAAACTACCAGGAAACTGTTTTTAAATGTAACTCCCAGCAAAGTTGCCCACTCCTTGTTAACAGCTTGGTAGCCCAATAGTTACTTTAAAATCATGGCTAAATAGCCTAATCCTATGCAAAAATCCTGCCTACATATGAATAAGTTTGGATCTTAATTATGATAGTCTTTATTGTGAGAATGTTCATTCAGCATTTCTACTTATATTTAAAACATTCAATGACATATCTTTGTATAGTCAAGAGCCTATAGTTTTTTTTCAGAGTTTGTTTTAGATTCCAGCTAAGAAATTAAAATCAGGAATTCTTCTTCCCAAAGAGTTTTAAACCGACCACACCTTTAATACAACAGAAATTTCAGGGCACCTCCATATTGGCACTGCTTTTTCTCCCCAGTCCCCTAAAGCAGTTTGAAATTGTCCTACAATTTTCTTAAAATTTGCAGAACAATATAAGTGATGGGAAAAAAAAGACAATGGAGCCAGGAGCTGGGAGTGAGTTCTTGCTAATGTTCTGTCTACAGTAGTTCCAAAGTGGTAACATTTTAAGCAAATACATTATGACTGAATCAACAACATACTCATTTAGCCCCAGATAAAGCCAACACTGGATATACCTGAAGATGATTCTGAACTGAGGTAAACCCCAGGCGGAAGTGCAAGTGTCCTCAATTAACCAGTTAATCTATCTGTCAGGTGCCTAAAGAACTTATGTAGTTTATTTATATAAATCCTGATATCCTCAGTTTCTTTTAAAAAGTGTCCAAAACAGCAAAGCCATTAACTTAAGGTGTGGTGTGTTTATAATCATGACATTGAAAAAAACATGTGAACTGGTTCATAAACCATAGTTAACTAAAATGGCTGGAGTTACATTACGCAGAAATAAGCTAGCATTATAAATGAGTGCAATATATGAACCTAGACATAGATAAATAGGAAAGTACTTCATAAATTAATTTCTCTAATTCATCTAGTTGACAATATGGGAATATGCAGCAGTGCAGGTATTAATCTCAGCTCCATGAGTTGCATTGTTTGCCAGTTTGCTTCCAGGTCCAATTTAAGGTAATAGTTCTAACTTTAAAAGCCCTTCATTGAATAAGGCTGAGTTATCGGAAGGATTGCCTCTTCCCAATTGTATCTGCCTATCCCATCAGATTGGTCGAGAAGGCATGCTGTGCGTCCTGTCTGCTAGGCAGGATCCAAGACACAGGGCCTTTTTGGCCATGGGACCCATTTTAAAGAATATTATCCCCTTCCTCCAAAATAAGGGCTAGCTCTATCCCTGTTAATGTTCCAGAAGTCCCTTAGGATCTGGCTATGTTATCAGACCCAGGGCTCCCAGGGGATTCGTGAAATTCTAAGATGGCTCCATCATTGTAATTAATATTCACATTCTTTTGTAACTGGTGCTTTTGATTTATTAGAAGCACTAGATACAAGACTGTTTTATATTTTAATAATTATTTTTATATATCTACTGTTTCAGTTAACGAGATTGCACCTTGCCCAGAGTCACTTTTTATGAGATGGGCAGCCCTATAAGTTTGATAGATAGATATCAATATCCATTTAGTTCTAGAAAAGATCCTACACTTTCATTTTGCTTTTTTAATCCGGACAGATATCAGCTCTAACTCTCCCTCTATTATTTTTTAACTAATGCTATGCACATAATTCAGGGCCATGAATGACTGTTTTCTTTCTCAGGTTTCAATAGCTATGTCTCATTTGCTTTTCTTAAAAAAGCACTCATGTTTTCTTAAGAATGATCATTGTACTGTACCTTGGCAAATCATCAGCATTAAAGACTACTGAGCTAAATCGATAAATTGCCTTTGTGAGGCTGCTGTAGTGCCTGCTATCAGTGTTTCCAACACAAATGCCTGTAAAAAAAATAATCAGAACAAAAAAGTTAGCAATTAGTATGTTTTTGTTTCCTTGCTTATCAGTTTGTATTTTGCTGTTTAGCAGTTTTGAAATAACTAACATTGCATCAATTTTAATCAGTTTCCTCTGATTTGCACTGAATCTTATATGCCAAAGTTTTATCATGAGCTTTGACAATTCTCTCCTGAATTTTTAAAGAGTATAGAAAATAATTAAGTTTTTCAAGAAGAATCTGTTTAAGAATTGAAAGTTTTTAATGCAGTAAATAATGGCTGAAAGACTCATAGTTTGTACTGGAACATTCCAGTGCTATAAGACATAACTGAATAGCAGAGATGGTCTCACTGAAGGAAATAAAAGCACAGATCAACATAATCCTGAAAAAAAACTTATGTATGAAGGGAGAGTATATAGTTCACCAGTTCCTGATAGTAATAATATTAATAAAAAAATAGCTCCCAGACATCAAAGAAAAAATGTAATTGTTTCCATGTATGTATGTAATTCTAATAGTATTTGAAATGTCCATACACTAATGTGCATCCACATGTATTGGAATAAAGCAGAGGAACAAAAGAGAACATAGAAAAAAATGGAAACAATGTTGGGATTGAATGGAAACAGAAGAGAAAAACACTAATGATCGTGCATCTGCCACTACCTGGAACTACACTGGCAACATCTGGGAAAACATCCAGGATGGTCTGGCGGAAAACCCGTACAGCGAAGGTCTGATCATCCCAGGGGCTAATGTGGGGCGGATCAAAGGTATCCATCACTTCTATCTTCACTTTCTTATCATTAATTGTTTTGTCTAATATTTCCAGGATCTAAGAATACACCCAAAGAACAAACAAGTTAAAGCAGCCAAGATGGTTTTCATCACGATATTAGCACAAGTTCTAGGCTTTCCTTCATACCAGTTTCAGTTCTCCCAATAAAAATATGTAGGCAGGACAGGAATCTTTCAGGAATCTTATTGTTCAAATCTTATTTCCTGTTATACAAAGGAACTGAAAGTTCTTACAATTTGATTTGGGTTCCTGTATCAATATATTTAACCGTCTCTTTAATACAGATATAATTCCAATATTTAAATCACTCATATTAAATACAGAAATATATAACAGAACACAACAAACAGGCAGAATGGTAAAGACACTGTTACGAGCTTAACATTTGGCTTAAGCATTATTTCATGTATTTTTTATCACAAACACTGTAGGAGAAAATGTTCCTTTCATGCCTTCCTCTACCACAAAGACATAGGAAAAAGGGGATGCAACTCCAGGGATTTAACTGTTTTGTCTTTATTATCCTTTGTACAGACAACCTATCATACACAACACACAGGCATGTTGATGTTCTGCTGGCTGATTTAGGCAGCCAGGCAGCTAAACGTGTGCAGCCTGATTCCAACTGAGACCACTGTTTCATCTGGTTCAATGTTGCTTTCTCTGACTGGTGTGTCTTTCCAAGCTTCCAGAAAATCTTAGCCAGGGATTTTAGGGACTGAATTGAGGGCCCTTTACCTTCACAGCATGTGTTGCAATATTCAACTATTAAAAACTGTTTGTTCCTTCTCTAACATCATAGTGGGAAGGGAAGAAGGACCTCTGGAAATGCCCAATACCTCTGGAGAGAGAATTCTACTTTCTCAAGCAGGGAGCAGGTTTCCCAGTAACATTATCACTCAGGACCCATCCATTAGAACTTTGTGTTAGCGGAGATGTAGGTGGTAAGGGAGTGCCTGCAGCTACTGGAACCCTACACGGCGTTAAGGTGGAGAGGAGAATACGATAGTTGATTACTCCCAATAATGCCCCAACTCCCCCTGCTACAGCAGCCAGGAGAATGCCAGTAGCTGTGCCATGGAATCAGCTAGCATCCTGACTACAAGAAATAGGTATTAACAGGATCAGGATCAGGTTATATCAGAGCTACTTAAAGACGGAGGGTGCAGCACTATATCTAAATTAGGTAACCTGTTTAATGTTTCCTCAAGTAAAACTAAAATGTTAAACTCTTATAAGCCTAGGTCTGAATTATGACAAATTCTAAAATTAAAACAGCAAAGGCATATAAAACTCCACCACACTTCATCATACTACCTCCTCAACGGATTGTGAAGAGTGGATGCGGAAATTCACTGTGGCATCAGCTTTTGGTGGAATAACATTTGACTAAAAAGAAGGAAAGAAGAAAAAAAGACGATCTCAAGCATCAATACATTTCAGATCTGTGGCAGCAATTCAAAGCAGTTTCACCTGAAGCCATAACATAGTTCCTGGTTTGTCGGTAGCATCTCTTTAAGTTCAAAGGAGACTTGCAAATGTGCCTTACAGAAGCATTTTCTTGCTTTTGTTCTTTTCTAAATGCCATTATTCCTATGCCACCCTATTAAGGCTGAACAAAGCTCTGCCTGTTGTTTTGCAAAAGGAAAACTTGGCAGACAAATATGCACTTGGAAAAGATGTAGCCACATACTATGTGAAATGACAGAGAATAGCTTGCTTCTGAAGAATAGTAGACAGATACACTTGTGGGTCCATCTTCAGGGAAAGGAAAATGCTGCCAATTCATATCTTATATCAATACAAATTTACACTGGGCACATATGTCTATGTGACAACAGCAGACCCATTATCTTAAATCAGGGTTCAGCCCTAAACATGGATAAAAGAGTAGGTGGAAATTCAATGTGAAATATATCCAGGGTGCTGATTTGCTGGATCATATTTTTCTCCCCAACAGTCAACCCTCCCACCCTAACTTTTTTCTCTTTTGGATTGTTTTATTATAAATGAACTTTTTGCAAGTAAAGCAACTGTATTGTGGATTAAGTTGTTTTTTACTTAAAGTCACAGACAGACACATCTCCATTTCACACTTGACCGGGACAGAGTAGCATTTAAAGTTGTGGATTTGTAATTTGGATAACTTGTCTCAGCTCTACCAGCTGATGTCGCTGTTTAACAATAGCCACATTACTAAGTGATAAAACACTACATCTCTGGTATTCTATTTTCTACATATATGCACAAACACACACAGCCACAGACATCAGATTAACAAACGACTTCCATTATTCAACAAGCGTACTTTTCTCAAGCATAGACTGACGTTTATTGTATATCTAAAATTATCAAGGATAAATATGACGAACTTTTTGTAAAACTCTTTGTGCATCTTATGTATATGCATACGTTTATTGGGACTGTGCAGTGCTTCAGTTTAGAAAGACAAAAGATGTTTTGAAGCATATAGGGATGTGGATGCTTCATTGTGTTTTCTGGGATTAGATAGCAGTAAGGTTGTCTGGGAAAGATGTGTTCCCCTTGTGAGATGTGAAAAAGACAGGGATACCTACTGTCCCCTTTTTTGTTTATTGTGATTTTGGAAATATTAAATAGAGATATAAGACAAGATGAGACGATTGTGGAGGAGATTTTAAAAGAAAGTTATAAATTGGGGGCTTTATGAGTCACTTGCTATTGCTTTTAGAAGACCCTATAAAGGGAATTGAAATATCAATGGGCAAATTAAAAGAATTTGGTGCATTAGCAGGCTTTAAGATTAATAAATGAAATATGAATAAATTAACAAAACTGTATTAAGGGACTTCAAATTTATGCTGGAAAAGTTAATAATAAGGGACATTTTATCATGTTTGGTGGATGTGTAAAAATCGCTGGAAAATTCTGGATTCAAATATACACACTGATTCAGAGGACTTTAAAGATTAATAAACAACTGAAATTGGAAGTTTTTCATTTGGAGCTGATAGACAAGTAGTTGGAAAAAAGTCAGAGATGTTTTTCTACATGTTAAACGCAACAAGATTATTGTAAAAGTGAAAAGATTCAATATTACCCACAATGAGAAACAATATGTAAAGATGATGAATGGAGATGGCTAAATTGACTTCCATGATAAGAGAAAGGACAATCTACATTTGTTGCTGACTGAAAACCCTTTATAAACTTTTTGTGTGAAACAAAAAAAAAAGGATGTTTATGATTTTTGATTATTAGAAACAGCATATAATAAAAAATAAAGATATTTGGCAAAAGGTAAACTTGTACTTAGTGTAAAGAAAATTAGAAGCCACTTCTTTATATTTTTTATATTTTTCTTTACTTTGTTTTACAGTCTTGCATTTTTAGTTTCTTTGATTTTTTTTCTCTTCTTTTTCTTACTTTATATTCGTTTCTATTAGATTTTTTTCTTTTTAAATGTTTTAAAATAAAATTATATATATTAAAAGGAAAGATGTGTTTAGCTTAGAGATGCACCCCACCTGTTTCATGTGGATTTTCCCTTTAAATCCAAAACAATGCATATATGTATGACTTGTGTATACACACCCACCCATGCACTCACCGAGGTGCAAACATAAAAACACTGAGAGAACTGATGTGGCACAAGCATTCTCTGATGTGCAGGGGGCAGGATTGAGAACAGTGCATGGGTATGTGCAAGAGATGCCACATGGATCAGGGAAGGGTGTTGTGTGGGGGGGTTAGGTAGGGTGCATGGGAGTGCCCAAGAGATACTGTTTGGGTTGGGGAAAATATACAGTGGGATAGAGTGAGTTAATAAAGAGTGTTTGGGGATACCAGGAGGTGTTATGCGGATAGGAGTATAAGCATAGGGGGCAGCACGAACCAGGTGAATACGGACCAGTAAAGGTATACTAGATTTCCTTCCTTCCTGTTCTCCCTCCTTCCTTACTCCTCCCTCCCTCCCTCTCTAAATGGTGGCAGCTGGATGGGGGAGTGAGTGAGAGATTGTTAGATTACATTGGGAAACATTGAAAATGAAGATTACATGACTGCGCTAGCTGCCCAACAGCAGCCAGTAGTACAAAAGTAGTCACAATGTCCCCGAATTTCACTCCCTTGGGAATTGTGGGTCTTGGATTTTGGTCACATCCTGTAAATTAGCCAATTGAGATACTTTGGTTCAAAAGTAGTTGCCCTACAATGCATTGTTTTGCCCAGTTAAAGGTTATGACGAGAGTTTTAGTAACATAATAGATTATTTCTACAGGAAGGAAAATAATGCAATATGAGACAATTGGGTGGAAATGGAGGAATTCTTTTGCTGATTGCATTTTTGTTCTGTTTAAGTATGTTAAGCATTTCCATTGGCATATATACCTGTTTTGTTTTATTTTCTAGGAAAAATGGCGGGAAATCTTATCTGGATTTATTTTTCTATCAAATGTTTATTTATTAAATTGATGTGCTGCCCATCTTGCTTTGAGAGCAACTCTGGGCTGCTTACAATGCAAATGTTGGGTAGGTTACAAAGTGGGGCAGTGGCCACTAATTGTCCCATTCAGTTTTCTTTCAACTTTTCCCAATCTAGTGTCTTCCACGTATACCTTTATTCCTGCATGAAACATGGTGATTGCAGTGGTGGTCCGAACTAAAGCATTAGTGCTAGGAGTTTGCTCAAGAAACCTGCATAAAGATTTAAAAGACAAAAGTTTATTTGGTATCTACATTAAACCAATATAACTTTCTGTACTCTGCAAAATAGTAGCAATATTTTATATTGATTGAAGTACAGTAATTGATACAAAAAGAAGAAGAAAGAAGAAGCACTTGAATTTTATATAATCCAGTTAAGTATATTGCCTGTAGCTTCCAGTATATTTTTCATTTATTTACCCAGACTCAGCTTATTTTTACTTCCTCAGCTCTCTTTTACATAATAAATTTTAGATTGATAACTGCTCAGGGCATAATTTTCTCTTGCAGTTTGTGAAGACACTCAATAGCAGATACTTTTCCGCACACAAACAGATGTCATAGCATTCTATTAACACTTACATAATTGCCTTTTCAGAATTTGATAAAAGATCAATGCAGTTGAAGTAAGAAAGTTTTCAGACTTTTTGCTGTTGTTTAAAGGCTTCTCAAAATAGAAGAATAGTTTTAAGAAAGGAGAAGAAAGAAAGATTATGGAGAGAAGAAACTACTACCACCATTTCCTAATTAATTTATGCATGCAGGTTTTAAGAGAGGAAAGTGATAAAGCATCTTTTCTTACCAGCCAACAAGAGGTCCAAAGAGCCACAGATTTGCCATGATGATATTGAGGGGGAAGTTGAACTGAATAGCAAGGGATTGGGAATGGAAAGAGAGTATATACACATCAGCAAATGTATCCTTGGATAACACTTTCTTCTACATACTATTTATTTACCGTTCAAAAGAACGATGATTCTACAAATAAATATAATTACTATATACAAACCACAATCCAGTCCATTCTTGCTAGAGGCGGCAGTGGGCTTATGGAATTATTTTTTATAATATTTTATTAATTGTAATCTGAGTTGAGTACTTATTTTAGTTGAGAACAAAGCCAGGATACAATTTTCTTTTACATGAAATAAAAAGAAAAATAGGAAATGAATCTATAGAACAAAAGAAGTAATAGATAACAAATTAGGCTATTAGATGCAATTCAAGATTCTGATTATTACCGATACAGGTAGTCCTTGACTTACAGTCACAATTAGGACTGGAATTTCAGTCATTAAGTGATGTGGTCATTAAGTGAAACTAACTAGATCTGATTTTAACTAGTTTTCTTGTGGTTGTTAAGCAAGTTATTGTGGTCATTAAGTGAATCATGCAGTTGTTAAGCGAATCTGGCTTCCCCAATGGGCTTTACTTATTGGAAGCCAGCTGGGAAGGTCACAAATCATAGCCACATAATTGCAAGATGCTGTGACCATCGTGAACGCGAGCCAGTTACCAAGCGCCCAAATTGTGATCATGTGACTGCAGGGGTGGTATAATAGTTTTATTTCAAGAAAGGCTTGTAAATCACTTTTTCTAAAGCCATTGTAACTTGGAACCACTATTAAACAAAAGGCTGTAAGTTGTAAAGTCCTTTATGGCACAGATCTGACTATCTGAGCAGACACAATTTCTGCCCATCCAATATGTTCAGATAGCACTGATATGCTGCATGTCTAATCCATTACTCAGTGCCACCTGATGAGATCGAGGAAGATTATCCCCCCCCCGCCCCAAGATACACCTGGCTGCGCTCTTGCTATGATCAATAGAGCTCTGAAAACTTGGCTGTTTCCTCAGGCTTTGGGGTAAGCTGGTGGCAAGTCTTGCACCTTATTTTATCTTTTAATGGCTGTCTTTCTTCTGGTGATTGGGTTGTTTTGGAAACTGTTTTGCATGTATTGTATGATGATGCTACCCAGAGTAATTTTCTCTGAAAATCAAGTAAACTTGCCTAGTGCTCAGGATAGCAACTCATGGGAATTCTCCCAAGGGGGAAAAATGCCTTAAAATGATCCGTGTGTTTCCTGAAAGCTGTAGAAATGAAGAAAACATATGCTCAATAACTCACCACTGGTGCCAGCTGTTCAAACAACATGATTTCAGGTCCATGACCAAACAAATTGGGCATAGGGTTTGTTTCCAACCTATAGGAATCAAATGCAAAAAGCAAAATAAAGTACATTCAGTTGAATTATTTTGTGCCTGTTGACACATTGCACTAAGATGTAAGTTTGTTAGATATGTTTGCTTCTTTCTTAAATCAGGAAATCAAATTATCTGCTTTCAAAACAGGTTTTAAGAAAAAAGTATCCCTTAGAATGTGGAACATGTAGTTCGTTTTTCTGAGAGTATTTTCTTTCAATCATATTGTGTGGCAAAGAGATCTTTTATAATTTGAATGTAGCCCTCTACAAAAGAAGGGAATCCTGGTGGTGGGACACACAGAAGGTATGGATGGATGAACTCTCATTCTCTATTCCCAGTGCAAAATGGATTCAGATAGAAATGATTTTACTCTCTGTGTGATTGGTATATTTTAACTTTTTATAATATTTGTACTATTTTCCTTTTTAGTAATGATTTCTAAAATATTTCACAATTATTATTTTTATGGATCTTATTTGATTGTTGTATATTGCCCAGTCACTTACTCTGAGATGGGCAGCTATATAAATATGTTGAATAAATAAAATAAAAGTATATAAGAATCTATAAGTCATGCACTGTGTTAATTATTTGTAGCATATTGCACATAACTTTTGATCTTCAATAACAATACAATTAATTGAAGAAACAATATTGAAAGAGAGAGGAAAATGAAGTGGAAAAAGAATATGCAATTAGTTTAGTTAATTGTTCTTAAGTACAATTATTTGCTCAATTGCAGCAGCGTATAATAGGTCAAAGTTGCCCCTGAAGGCTGAAAGATTCTTCAGAAATAGAATTTCTTATTCTTGTTCATTCCCTATGTTGAAATGATTGGGGGCAGGAGAATGATAGGCAGGAAAATGTGAAGTAAAAGTAAGGAGACAAAACAAAATTATGATTTCTTTCCTAGTAACCTCTCAATGGCACAGCAACAAAGCACCCCATAAAACTTAGATATATCTCCCACTTCGCAAGTTAGTGTGACTGGTTCTAGAAAATAACACAATAGAACTGAATAAATAGATACCACTTATTTCAGAACTCTACAACCATGACTTTCCCCTTGCGGATGTGTTGGACTGTAACATCCAGCATTATGGGTTAGGGATAGGTTGTAAATCATCCTATCTAAAAACTGCCAGGTTGTAAAATTCTGTTACAACTATTTATGACTTATTCTGACCCTTTCATTATTGCAGATATTTAACGTAGCACCTTAGATTACTATGCTTTATGTGTTTTATTGGAAACTTCTGCATTCAACCCAAAATAGGTTTTTTTCCCATTCGATATGCATTGAATCAGAATGATAATGTGTTCCCAAGACAGACACTCACTTGTATAAGGCTTCAGAAAGAATACCAATGCTGGTCCTCTTAGGGGGTGCAGAAGAATGGCCAACTTGAGATGTTACAGTGAGATTTACGTCAAGTGTACCCTTTTCTGTGATACCTATTCTGAGTTGGGGGGAAAAAACATTAATGAAGTTCCAAATGCAATACAGTTGTATTGTTCGTCATATTCAAATTGAATAAACAAAGAAGTGACGTCTGACTTTTGCTGCTTTTTGCACAATTTTATGTAGACCTTTTTTTTGCTTTGCTTAAATAACACATATACATCATCCAATTTACTCTGCAGTCAGATTTCTTGCCTGCTGTGCAGAGCAGCAGGAATTACTACTAAAATCCTCACCCATCTGATATTACAAAAGACATGTTGCCTTAATTACTCTAGTTTTGTAAGAGCAACAAAAGCCAAAAGGGGCGTGCATAAGTGCACAATCATGCCTACCATCCCTGTCCTATTGTCCCCATTTATTCATACCTATTTTCTGTATTCTACTCATGTTTATACTTATACCTATTATCTTGTAAGTGATTGACAAATCAAATCAATAAATAAATTAAAATAAACAGCTAGAGATGTAGGTCTATGTTTTTTACTCTATTGCTGGGGTATACTGTGATCAGGCATTCATGTACCTGAAGTTAATTAGTTACTGTATGCACAACCTGGAGAAATATGAGATAGAGTACAATGTCCATGCTTTCATCATTCCAGAACAAAGGTAGGCAAAGTACAGACAAATTGATAAATTACAGTTTCAGTTATTTCTGAACTGCAAGGCATGGCTTCCAACATTCAATTGTTTAAACCTGATGCCATGAAATAAGTAAAGAACTGCATTTACTGTAGCAAACAACTGTATTTCTTTACTTACACAGCTACTGGTTTCTCTATTTTAGGGATGATTCCATCAAAAATAAAACTTCCTTCATCAAGCACAAAAGTAAGTTGTACCCCTCTAGATTCCAGCTCAGCCACAATTTTCATTGCTCCTTTTTTACCACCCACCTGAAAGGGAATTAGAGTAACATTTTCTATGTTAAGCCAGTGGCTAGCCTTTCAAAAGAAGGCAATTATTATTCAGCAAAGGCTGTAAGTGATTTACCAATTATAGCCCAAACCACTTAAGTTTGAATCTAAAGAATACATAATCTCATTGAAAAAGCTACTACAGAAATAGCACTTAGACTATAATGTTGAAATATATTTGGCAGGGAAAGAAGAATTAAATTTAAGTTGTTACAGGATGCTAGAACAAGGGGAGGTTTTGGATTACCAAATTGGAACTATATTACCAGGCTGTAACAATGATGTGGGTGAAAGAATCAATTGTTCTGAGAAGTACTAGACTGTTAACATTGGAAGGCCATGACTTACAATTGGAGTGGCATGCATTTTTATGGTATAAGGAAAGTAAAGCGCATGGGTATTTTAGGAGACATTACATTCAAGATGCCTTGTTATCAGCTTGGGAGAAAATAAGGAAACAACACTATTTGAAAATACCAATCTGGTTATCAAAAATAGAGTCATTTGCGTATCCAATTATTTTTAAAATGGAACATGTTGTTAGATATAGTGAAATTTTAAATGAAAAGGGTGAACTCAAAACAAAGCAAGCACTAGATGAACAAGGGATAAATATGAACTGGTATTCATATGTGCAAATACATTCTAGATATGATAAAGATAGTAAGATAGAAGGATTTTATAAAAAATTTACTGAATTAGACAAAATCTTAACAGGTACTGATGAGAGGCTGATTAAAAATTATATGGTTATTTACTGAGAGTGAAATTAGAAGAACAAGTTAAAAGAAATGATTGCATGGGGGAAATTTTTTAGATATCGAATAGATCTAGAAAAATGGCAGAAATTATGGACTAGAAATTATAAATTAACTATGTCAACAGCATATAAAGAGAACTTGTATAAGTTGTTTTACAGGCGGCACCTATTCCCGGCAAGACTAGCAAAGATGTTCAAGGATAAATTGGCAAAATGCTGGAAATGTCATCAGATACCTGGATCATATTACCATATGTAGTGGACATGTGCGGAAGCTAAAAGATATTGGACTAAAATACACACATGGTTGGAAAAAATGACAAAAAGCATATAGTTCTAAAACCAGAGATAAGGATACAACAGAGAATTGACATATTTGATTATTAATGTTTTAACTGCAGCTAGAATTGTATTTGTTCAAAATTGGAAAAATGAGAAAATTCCGAGAGGAGGATGTGATTAAGAAAATAATGGAATGAGCAGAAATGAGTAGATTAACATTTGTAATTGGAGAACAAGAAGAAAAAGAATACTACAAGATATGGGATTTATCAATGGCTAGACAGAAAAGTAGGAAATTGAAGTATAATATAGTAGTAATGATGTATTGAAACTGATTATTTTTAAATCAGTTATAATATGAATACAAATTATTAAGAATTGAGGTTTGCTCTAAAGGATAATATGGATTTGAAATTAATAGTCTAATGATGGTGTAATAATAATACAATATGATATGGGAATTAATGCAATATAAATGTAAACCTAAGAGGAAAAGACCATAAAAACACTGTGCACAAGACATATGTACCAACCAACACAATGTGTAATTGAAAGGTTTTATTTGTTGTTTGTTGTAAAAAAATAAAAAACTTTTTATACAAAAAAGAGAAAAGAAATAGCACTTAGACTTATATACCACTTCACAGCAGTGCCACCATGGCTTTATACTGTGTATCTAAGCTGTCTTTTCATATGTATCTAATTCCTAATTGGAGTTTTTAAAATATATTTTATCCAGTTTCTTATTATTTTTATAAATGATTTAAGGCAACATATATACCTAATATTCCTTCCTTCTCTTATTTTCTTCATAACAATTCTGTCAGATGAATTGGGCTGAAAGAATGATTGGCCCAAAGTCACTCAGCTACCTTTCATGCCTAAGAAGGGACTAGAATTCACATTCTCCTAGTTTCTAATCTGATGCCTTTAAAGAAGCATTTTAAAAAAATTGGGGATTGAATTTAGAGTGCCAAATGCAATATTTAAAAACATTCAATATCTTATATTCCCATTCAGCAAAACGAAATACTCCTATATAGCCAAATTATGATCAATGGGCAATAACCCTCTACTTTATTTGGACAGTATACATTAAAGATATTTAGGTTATCAGAATTTTTAAAAAGCAATTTACTTGGAATCTATTATTCAGTTTATGGGGATGGCTAAATAAACTTCAAAATAATAAAAACATAGGTGAAATTGAGGTTAGAAACAAACACATAAACAAATAATACCTCTTCATCATGCCCAAGGCCTATATAAAAAGATCTTTGTGGTTTGTAATTTCGTCTCAGCAAAAACTCTAGAGCGTGTAAAATGCCCTGAGGATTAGAAAGAAAATAACTATTTTACATTTGGTTATACAGTGAGTTTTATCTTATACAGTGATTATTGAGAATTAGACTATGAGAAAACAGAGCTCTATACAGAGACCTTAACTCAATTCACTAAAGGCTTTTGACCATTATGGAGCTATATAGTACTATCTACCCCTTGAGGAAGCATAATCCAGTGAGGTCCCTGGAGTCGGGCGGCCAATAAATGTAAATATTTGGCAAGAAATTTGCTGTCCCTATAGCCGAGCACTATCCAATAGGAACTTCTATTGCCTCTGTCCCTAGTTATCTTGCCTTTCTAACAGATGATGAAGCCTAATAGATTTTACACTCCTTGAGGGTAGCCAGGTATGGTATTAAAGCAAACAGGAAAATGATGCTTAAAGACTGGTTAAGCCTGTATCACTCATGGACTGGGGATGAGGTCAATCATGGGAATACATGAAGATGATCCTATGTTTGTGCTGTGTTAGATGCAAGTGAGAGTCAGAGCAGCAATGAGAGCTAGGTAATTTTCTGTATTACCTATCTCTCTATAACCTTACTTCGTTTTCATTGAAGATAAATTACTGTCCCAAACACTGTGTATGGATTTCTTCTCTTTTTTATATTTTTTAAAATGTTGTATGTGTGCTGCCCACCATTTCTAATAATCCCCCAGGACAACTGACTCAATCATGCAATAAATAATGCTTTGTTAACATCACAGCAGGGCAGTAAAATCTGTTTCGAGCCAACAGCTGTAATTGCCTATGGCAGCATGCCAGGGACAATACTCCAAAAGTGAAGTGAGCCAAGACAAAAACTATATTTTGTTTAAATTAAATCTACTTAGTCTCATCATGTATTTAATCATTTTTCCCTTCTGTCATATTACAGACATGTCAATTTGGTGGCAGACGTTACGTTTTGGAGCTTATGAACATAATAATGGGTTCTTAATCCTGGGATTAAACAGTATTTTATTTTTCTCAGAAGAGGTATCTCATCCGTCGTCAATCCAAGTCTTCTGTGAATCAGCAGATATGCTAGATACGTTGTTATAATGATCTAATAATGGTCGATGTGACTAATATGCTATTAATCAGATAACTCATCTTGCTTGTTTCTAACTTTAAACCGGCTTTCATAAAGGATATTGGGACAGAAGGATACTATCGCTTTTCCCTCCAGCTTTCCAATCTGAGTTAGAGTAGTATTGTTGTTTCTGATCTTTGAAGTTCTGCACTTCATTATATCCATGTCAATCATGAGTCAATTCGTTTCAGAAAGGTTGCTTTAATCACTAGTTAGCCAGTTGTTGTGACCAGAGAACTGAGCAAGACTGATTAGAGCAGAGATAGGAAATGTGTAGCCCAGCTCCATTTTTGCATGCCTATAACTCCACTAAAATCACACTATTTGAAGGGAGGCTCAATTTGCCATTATTTTTCATAGAAAGAATTTACTACTTTTAGTTGCCAAATGGCTTAATTCAGCCACAAAACCCCAAACAAACAAATAAAAGAGTCTAAAGCCACATCCTTTGACTCTCTTTCACTACTTTTCCATTTTATCTGGTGTTCACCAATCACTTTTTCACTTCAAGATAGCATGTGTGACCTGTATTCACCCTACAATCAGGGGTGGGATTCTACCGGTTCGGACCAGTTCTATAAACTGGTTGTTGATTCTGAGTTCGGAGAACTGGCAACAATACCCCCCAGGAGGCTTCACTGAGGGTCAGAATGCTCCAAAACAGACGGTGGGGGGTGCTGTGCACTCCCCCAGGCTCCATTTTTTTCTTCCTGAGCCCCAGGGAAGCCTTCTGGGAGCAAAAACACCCCCACCGAGGAGGCTTCCCTGAGGCCCAGAAGCCCAAAAAATGAAAGGGGGGGTTCTGCCAAAAAAAGCCACACCCACCTAGTCACATGGCCATGTCCACCTAGCCATACCCACAGAACTGGTTGTTAAAAAATTTGAATCCCACCCCTGCCTACAATCATCAATTTACTTTATTCTGGAAAAAAATAGAGCCATTTGTTCACTGAAAGCAGGAAAAGCCGGTGTAATTTCTAGCTTTTCAATTTCAGTTTTCCAGGAGGAGCAATTCAGTGGTGGGTTTCAAAATAAAATAACTACTGGTTTTGTGGGCGTGGTGTGGCTTTGTGGGTATGGTTTGGTGGCCATGGCAGGGGAAGGATATTGCAAAATCTCCATTCCCTCCCCACTCCTGGGGGAAAGTTACTGGAAAATCCCATTCCCTCCCCACCCCAGTAACCTGCTTTCCGGCTCCATTCTCCTGTGCAGGGCAACCAAAGAAGACCCAGCTGATTAGCTGGGACTTGTGAGGCAGAGAATAGATGGGGGCGGGGCCAGGCAGAGGTGGTATTTGCCGGTTCTCTGAACTACTCAAAATTTCCACTAACGGTTCTCCAGAACTGGTCAGAATCTGCTGAATACCACCTCTGGAGCAATTGAAACTGATATTGAAGCAGAAGGTATATCTAAGAAGTCTGTATGAAGCTCAGCCAAATGCAATTCTAAAACCAGTAAGATGCTTTTGAAAACTGCAGCATACAGAAAGAAAACTGATTCCCTGTTCCCACACTGTGTAACGAAAGCCATGATTTATCATAAATATGGTATGGTACATAAAATTTCATAGACTCCTGCAACTCATAGTATTTCTGCATCCCAGCAAAAGGAGATAAATTGATATACCATAGCTGAGTTTTTATTATCTAGTGTTCCTCTTCCATATATAAATCCATCATGTTCCTCAGCAGAGAAGGGATCACTGACATCCCATCCATCAGGGTATGCTGGGACTACATCTATATGTGCAAGCAGCATATATGGCTGTAACTGAGGGTTAGCTCCCTGGATGGTGAATAGATGGCTGTAATCTCCGATGACTTCATGTTGAATGAATGAGGTAGAAAACACTAAAGGAAAAGCTTCAAGAAAGAGAATTAAAGTTAGCCACTAGTTTTAATTTTGAAATTACGGTTTGTTGGGTAAAAAAGCCAGACTTTTAATGAATGACATGTATAAAAGAATAGTGGATGATATATTTGGAAAATGGTTAACTGAAGTAAGGAAGAAAGAAATCATTTTTGTATTTCTATATGTGGATAAACTGTTTTAAAGCAAATAATATAAATAAGAAATAACATTCTGAAATTATTCTTTTCCCTTTTATCCACCGGTGGACAAAAAACAAATATATCTTAGTTCAGCAAATGTTCCGCCTGTGATCAGAGCAGTGAGAACATCTGCAATACAATAATCCTTCTATTTACATTGTTCCTGCATCAGCATTTATTATCTTACTCTGAATATAGACATAGCAACCTTTGGATGCTCAAAGTTCTACTCATACTTTATCTTAGAAACTGCAATAATCTAAAGTAAACCGAAAGTATCATCCTTGTTGCAGTTAGATGAACAACACTTTGCCATCACAAGAGGAGGAAATGGGAACTTGGTGCAAAGAAGACCACCTAACAAAATTACTGATTAAACAACAGAGAACCAAATTTGTTCCCTAAGAAAATTTTATGCCATGCTGTTTCTCCATGCCTGAGAGAAAGTGGCTTACTTAAAGCCTCCTTGTTTATTTTTTTAGTTGCATTGATTTTAAAACTTTGCGTTTTCTGGTTCAACCCATGAGTTTTAGATTGCAAGGAACAAGGTATATTGAAATAAACAGGAGAATTTCTAAGTAATATGTGGTGTTTTCCTTTCCTAAAAATGTTTAAAGCTGCAGGTACATATCTATATCAACATTTTGAACTCAAAACATCTTTGGGTAGTTGCAAAAGTACTCCCCCCCCACCCCAAATCATTATGATACAAATTTTAATAACACTAGAAAGTTCCTTTTACAGAATCATACCATGAATCCACTGATGTCAGTCCTGTCTATACGAACTTTTTCGTGTGTCACACTTAAGAGTCAACTGTTTTGTTTGGCTTAAAAGTGTATATTTATGTTATATACAAATCAAGTATTGAGTTAGAATCCGTAACATGTAGTTTAGCATTGTGTAACCAACAAAGCAATTAACGTTGGTCATAACTTAGTATAGTACCTCTGCCAACCACTGATTGAAAGGGAACTCATTTTTCCACTTACATTAATATTAAACTGGGAGTATTTGCCATGAAAAATACATGTTTTACCCTTTTTGTCGATCTGTATAATTTATGACAGAATGGTATACATTTATGACAGAATGGTATAACATTGAAAAACAATATTAAATTATTGCTCAAATACATTTTCATTTATAAAGAATCCATATTTTTTCACTGATGAAACACCTATATGTAACATCTATAATTAACCACTTATAACCACCAACACAATTTTGTCAATTGAACTTTATTAAATAACGAACTATATTTTTTCAGTTTGGTACTTCAGTTTTATCAAGAAATAAACACAATACAATAATTATATTTTCTATGCAATTATTAACATTGTCACTAATAAAAACAAGCATTTCATTTTAAATACCTTTGTAAATATATGGCTCAAATTCTTCCAGGGCTGTTATATTCTGATCATTTGGTGAGAAGGAAACTGTTGGTATTCTGACAGCACCTTTTGGAAAGGATAAAGCATTTTTCAAAATGCTCAGGCAATATTTCAGAAAAGTAACACAAACAGATGAACTACTGCACCCATTAAAATGCCTTAAAGATATGCTTATATACAAAAAACAATCATTATCTCTGGATTGATAAACTCTAGTATCAATTATAAGAGGAAATTTGTGGAACTTTTGGGATAATAGTGAACAACTGTCATGTAAGAGCTTTGTACATTAAGATGGGAGCACATTCCAGAAGGGCACAAAGTTGTTTGTGCACAAGTTCTTCAGAAAGATCTACCCAACATGAGGCATGAGAGTTCAGTTTGTTGCCATTCTTGTATTTGACAGTGTTTATATGCCATGCCAATCATACCCCCTGAAAGGCTCATAATAAAATATCAAATACATATTTAACTTCCCCAAGAGGTGCAAAATGATTTTAAAATACTTTTAAAATCCACAGATCCTATTAAAACACTGAAGTACAAAGCATACACTAGTCGTCAGGGACTGCACAACAAGTTATCTCCATCTCCTTAATATCTCCACCACCACCCCTCCCAGTAAAAAAAGGATGCAAGAAAAGAAAGGATTTTACTAGCTTCTGAAATCTATGGGCCTTCCTATGTTTGGGGAAAATAATCCCCCCAACCATGGTTTGGGGAAGCCATGAAAAAAGCTCCCCTCCCCAAAACCTCATGGGAAGATAGAAACCAAGCAGGAAGATTGAATGTGGAGTAAATGATGTTCCCACAGTAATTGGGGATCCAAGCCTCAAAAGGCTTCATAGATATTGACAAGCATTTTGAATTGTACTTGGAAACTTTCCAGAAATTAATACAGTTCCTGCAGAATAAGTGTCATTCTGCTGTTCCTGCAAAACAATTGTAATTCTCTAACCCGCCTGGTTAGCAAAAAGGCAACTGTTGTTGTCAACTGTTCTTTCCAAGTGGAAATTATAAAGGATCTCAGCTAGTTCTAGAAATGACAAACTGATGGCATGTGGCAAAATCATTGTGCAAACACACTCCCATGCACTTGAATCTTGATGTGGGAGGGGAGTATGTTGTGATGTTACAACACATGTTTTATCACTATATGTCAGCAACCTAACTAGAGGTTAGGTTAACATGAAAGCATGGGTATCAAACCTTTTGTCTTTCTTGGTCCACAATGAGTGAAGAATTGACTTGGGCCACGTATAAAATATGTAACATACTTGATCACTAAGAATTACATAATAATGTTAAAAGTTTATAATCTTAGTGGGCCACATTACTATCTGTCCAGGGTCCTATGCAGCCTAGAGCCCATGGGTTGACACACCTGCATTAAAGCATCTGGAAGGTGTTAAGGGCATGAGTGACTAAAATATCTCCTATTGGGACAAAAGTTACAATGACAGTTCAACTCCAATAAAAAAGGGATCAAATAAGAATTATTTAGTGACTGAATGGCAACTGTTTGGAAAAGCAGGTTTCCCACCCCACTAACTTGAGGAAGGAAAGAAGAAGAAAAATGAATTCATCCATGATACTTCCCCAAGTCCTGCAGGGTGCAAAGCCTGCATTTTATAATAGCCCAAATAATATGAACACTGTCTTTTCTTATACATTTGTGCCTACAAACTGAATTCCTGTAGGTCATATATAGAAAGAACTATATACAAGGGTAAGGACCCTAAAAGTGATTTTATTCAAAGCGATACAGCTTAGAGACTCCAAGAAGCTAGTGTTATTCTAGGCAGAATATAAAGTTGTTTTATGCATTCTGATTGTGAAAGAGTATCAGTAAAGCAGGAGTTGTAGCAGAGGTGGTAGCAACCGCAGCAACAGACATTCCGTCCTAAGCAGCTACTCCCGGACAGGAGATCTACATATTGTACCAAACCATTTAAGCCAGTAACAGAGGAAAGCACAAATTTAACGCAGACAAGGCTATAATTTTGTTCTCTCGAACCAACAGCACCAACTTCCTATTAAAAACAGAGAAATATTTACTTTGAAGAAATGACTCTTTTACACCCGATTTCATCTTTGCTTTTGCATGTTTGCTTTTTTGTTTTGTTTTTACCTTGGAGCACCTCTTTGAGCTCTTGCAACTCGCGGGGGCTAAAGGTAGCCTCCCCTCGCCGCTGCCGTTCCTGCTGCTGTTTTTCCCGCAGCCTTATGGCCAAGCCGGAAGATCGGGTCCCATAGGTTCGGAGGAGCATCGCGACCACTAGAAACAACACTATCCCGCACAGTCCCAAGCCAGCCCAGCACAAAACCCCTCGCAGCCGGGCACCGAAGGTCGCCATTTTCCTGCTTCTTGGCCCAACCGCGTTGGGAACTGACAGGCAGGCGCGGCTTCTAGCCAATCATTGACCGAGCTGTTAATTTATCACCGCCGCGGGAAACTTGGTTTGGTTGGCCTTCTTGGTGCTGTACGGGAGGACCCTCGCAGTTCGCGGCAGAGGGGAATCTCAATTCACTCGGTTGAAGGCATTTAGAAATGGGCCGTACAAGATTAAGAGGTGCTCCTTAGAGGTGCTCATCGACTTACAACCGTTTAGTGACTGTTCAAAGTTACAAGGGAACTGAACAAAGTGACTTATGACCATTTTTCACAGTTAAGACCTTTGCAGCATCCCCATGGCCATGTGATCAAAATTCAGATGCTTGGCAACTGATTCATATTTATGACCGTTACAGTGTCCCAGGGTCATGTGATCCCCTTTTGCGACCTTCTGACAAGCAAAGTCAATGGGAAAGCCAGATTCACTTAACCAAGGTACTGCCTTAACACCTGCAGTGATTCACTTAACAATTGAGGCAAGGAAGGTTGTGATTCACTTAACAATTGAGGCAAGGAAGGTTGTAAAGAGCAAAATTCATTTAACATGTCTCACTTAATAACAGAAATTTTGGGCTGAATTGTGATCATAAGTTGTAACTGCTTCTTATGGCTTATGAATGCCCTGTCCCTGTCTTTCTGTCAAGGAATTGGTTTAAAAACAGCGTCTTGCTCTCTTTTGTTGCAAACACCCTTCCAGTTATTCTTTCATGTGACTCTGGCAATTGCAACAGGGAACAAGTGCTGATCAATCTTGTCTGGACTTAAGTTCTAGTGACCGACCTGGTTAGTGCTTGCCAGGATACCACAAGCACAAGAAAAGGCCAGTGCTGCAGTCAAACTGGGAAACCTCTTGCTCCACTTGCCAAATAAAGATGCAGGGATTCATCCATGAAATCACCAGGAATCCAGTTTGGACTGAATGAGAGTGTACTATTTATATACACTCAGCATGAACTTTGAGACCAGTAATTTTAAAAACATACTTTCAACTATTTTAGAGGCAAAACCTAGTTAATTTTTCACAATTCAATGAATATAACGTTTTGAAGAAGTCAATCTTTATTTGCTCTAATTTCAGATTCTACTTTAATTGACTTCAGAACCACTGGGTACTTTTCTACATTGGCATTTTGAAGATAAACTTTTCATAGAACTAAACTTTGGTATATTAAGAGACTTTGAAAGAAACATCCTTTGGTTTGTGGTATTCATATGATGCATATGTCCTGTATATCATACACTTTACAGAATCATCCTGGTGGAAGAAAAAATCACAACAAAAAACTATCCAACCTCAATAGTCATTTGCATAATTCACATTTTTATATAAAATTATTTTGCATTTACAAAATACAATTTTAAAAACTATATTTGCTTAGATTAACTAGTTAGGCAAATCTGCCTGAGAGGTAGATTTTCTTCATTGCGTCATAATTAAAAAAAGAACCTTGAGAATGTTTGACTAAACAGCTTGAGAGGAATCGGATGATAAACTGCTGCTCTTGAAATGAGTCCTATAACTCATTTAAGAACCCCTTAATCCAAACTATATGCAAGGCAAAACTTGAGCACTAAGAAAGTTTTAATCTAAATTATTTTAATGGAATGCTTAGGCAGTAAGATTTACTAAGTCTGTGCAAAGCAGGGGCATTAGTGGGGAGTCAAAAATATCAAGATGGCAGCAGTGATTATGCAATTGAAACCCAACTCCTTTTAAATATGCATCATTCATGCAAACTATGTAAAAAGCTTCGGCTCTGATTGTGTCATTGTGGCCACCATTTTGACTTTTTTTAAACCCTTCCTGAATGCCCCAGGTACAAAGCATTCTGCAAATATTTTGGACTTTGGGAAATGCCTCTTTCAAATGTGTTGGACAGCTTTACACTTCTGTATCTTTTTTTGAACACAATACACAGGACTGGTAATCAGGCTGAAAAATAATTGTTTCTTATAGAAATTTTATTTTTCAAAATGAAGCTAAGGTAAATTTGTTTAGTTTAGTTATTAAGAACAAAAGGCTACAATATCAAGAATAATGTGGAATTATCTTGAGATTTCTAATCACAAGTATAATAAAAATGTCACAGGTAATCCTCGACTTAACAACAGTTTATTTAGTGAATATCCAAAGTTACAACAGCATTGAAAAAGTGACTTATGACTGTTTTTCACATTTATAATTGCAGCCATTGCCGTATCCCCATGGTCATGTGATCAAAGTTCAGACCTTGGCAATGACTCATATTTATGACTGTTGCAGTGTATTGGGATTGTGTGATTCTCACATACAAAGTCAATAGGGGAGCCATATTCACTTAACAACTGTGTTGTTAACTTGACAACTACAGTGATTCACTTAATAACTGTGGAAAGAAAGGTTGTAAAATGGGCCAAAACTCACTTAACAAATGTCTCACTTAACAAAAATTTTGGGCTCAGTTATGGCTGTAAATCAAGGACTACCTGTATTGGAATAAATTAAAGTATCTTCTTTGGTTTTGCTTAATTAAACCTACGTCAAGCTTAATTTTGAAAAAAATATATAAAAGAACTGTAGAAATGCTCTATATACATAGATCCTATGAAAAATATTTTCATCCTCTAAACATCAACACATTCTTCAGAAGAGAGAAAATAACTCAGAGATAGGTGTGGTTTATAATGAAAAAGACATGTTGGTTTTAGGCAATACAGTAATACATGTTGGATGATGTCCAGTACTACAATAAACACATTTGACAAATGATTTGACAAATGAGTTGGTGCATTTAGGCCACAAAAATAAGGAATATAGCAGTAGGTTGCAATGAACAAAATTAGAGGAAAGTTAGGCATCATCATAGTTGTGTTTAACTTTGGTGTGGAGTCTATGCAATGAAACAAATGCCCCTCCTTGTGAACTGAAACTGCTGCAATTTGTGAGCAATTTATCTGGCAATCAAACATTTTCCATATTTTCCTTTGTTTTCCCTCATAAGAACAATGCTGGAGAATTAGTAGATATGCATGTCTGTTACATGCATACTTATGGCTCCATAAATAAAGAGGTGGAAAATATGAACCAGAAGATATTCAAGCGATCCTTTTGCTTCTTCTAGATGGATGAAATATATTCCCTGAGTTTCTTCCTTCCATGCCAACTGTTTCAAGAGTCAGATGCTCTGAGGTTCATAATCCAAGAGGAATTATAGAAGAGAATACCAGGTCCAAGAGTCTGTCCTCAGTGTTATAGAAGCACCCATGGCCCTTTGCTAGAAAGGCCATTTTCCTTGCCATTCAGACACAGGAACTTTCATAAGGAAACATCATGAACAAATAATTTGCCATCACAGGACTTGCTCACAGCGCTGTTTGTGTTTCCGAATGAAAAATGCTTCCAAACATTTCCTAGAAAAAAATGGAGATTTGCATTATAAACTGATACCAATGTTACTAATGATACATCACAAAATTACATAAGATGTATGTTTGGACTATAGCTTATATCAGATAAACTTTAGTTATAATTAAGTTATGGAATTTAGTTTAATCTGTGACTAATTTTTCTTTTTGATTTTAGAGAAACGAATGTTAATTCTGTTTGAATTTAACCATTATGAATTCCTTATTACTTATGCTTAGATTTTATTATCTGTTTACTCATAATTGTGTGCTGCCTCAATTTACAAATTTTAGGCAGCTTACACTATAGTACAATACAGAAGCAATTCATTGTAAAGCAATATAATCCCGAACAAAGAAATACAATAGTTAACATTTCAGTATAACCACCACTGAATTCAATCACAGCACGGTAACATTTATTACTGGAAGGCTTGTGGGAAGACCAGTGTTTTAACTGCTGTCCTAAATATTAACAGGGCCATCTTGAATTTAGGGAAGCAAGCTGGTCCAGATGAAGAAAGAGATAGCAGGGTTTAAGTCCCACTCCCTCTCTTTCCCTTATAGTGAGCACCACTGTTTTGGGCAGATATGAATCAGAACAGAGGTCTCATCCCTTTCTGAAGCCATGCAAGCCAGAGAGGTAATCACCAACCACCTTGAATTGCAATTAGAAGCAAATTAATACCTATAAATAATGCAATTCCTGCAACAGGATGACTGTGCTAACTGATGTTTTCTGAATGTGTTCTGTACAGGGCAGGTAGAACAAACTGCAATTCAAACATGAAGTGACTAGAGCATGAGAGATAATAGACAGTACATCTGGCAGAGGAATGAGTCAGATTCTTCATTTAATATCATTCTGTTCTTTTAACTGACCTCTTCCAAATTTTGGAATTCAGCACTGCTATCTTCCAGAGATTCATCTGAGACAGAGACTTCAATTTGATTTGACCTCTGAGTAGGGAGAAATGACTTGTTATTGTTTACATATGATAATAAAGCTTCAGAGTCTGTTTTTTTAGTCAAATATCAGCATAGGATTCTAGAGGATTCATTTCATGTAACATACATTTCAATAAGTCCATAAATCAATACACAAATATGTAAGATGATTAACCGAAGTTACAGCATAGTATAAATTTTTATGGGTTTTTTTCAGGAGCCACTGATAATGTTTCAGCCTTGTAAGACATACATTTAGCAAATTACAAACTGTAATTATGATACATGAATCATAGCTCTGAGTTGTAATAAATATACTTGGTGTGAATCAGCATTTCATACTTTAACAATAGCATTCAAATAATGTTTTATGGTGGTATGAAATTTTAATCAACTGTCATTATCTTTGTGCTTCAAATATCAGTAAAATTTTCTGGATTGTATAACAGTTGACAGGAGTTACTTTTAAATACTTAAGGAATAGAGTTGGAAAAATATAAATGGAATTCATAGCTGGCAATCATCTTCTATGAATGTACTCAAACCAAATTATTAGACATCCCATGAAAGACAAATCCTAGAATACAAGTCCTATGTTTTTCAAAGTTTGGGGTAACATTATTATTTCTCTATTTCTCTTAATAATCTA